GTCTTTGGGTAAAGATCTTTCTAGTTTATTGCATTATTGCCAGCAGGTTGTCACTACGATATGTCTAATCAAGTCACTGGAATACAGGAAACTACAAAAGAATGGGTTGAAAAAGGGTGAGGGATATCTAAAAATGTCTAAGTAGATAACAAAAAAATAAAATAATAAAAATTGAAAAAAATATTTTCAGCTTTCTCCAAAGACCTGCTTCTCAAGACCTTTCTCAATAAGAAATGCTCGATTGGGATATTTTTTCTTTTCCTGACCATTTAAGAAACTTATTCATTCTTGATCTTGAGTTTTTTCTCATGTACCGTCTGAGGAAACTTATCACCTAATTGAAGCCTTTATTTCCAGGATATACTTTGTCCCAACCTTTTTTAGGTAGTAATTTTTTATCTACTTGCAATGGAAAGGTGACTTACAGTGAACCCCAGGTTCTTATGTGACCTAGTAGAAACTGGGTCATGTTATTTCAGTATGATACCTTCCAGTAGTCATGCCTAGTTAAAGGAATTTTACTAATGTATATCTTCCATTGCTCAAAATAGTCCTTCCCCAAAAATCTTTTTGCTTCATAATAATAAGAGGATACTAGAAGAGCAGTAGGAAGTTTTGTTAATTGTGGTATTCTTCAACAACTTTTGAAAAAATGCATTCTCAACTGTAACCAAAGGGTTGAAGCTTAGCATGGATTAGAGACCATTCAGTCTTATTGCCTGATTGGAATAAAAAAGAGACCTTGGTCTTGAACTTTGTTGGACTGGAAGGATAGAAGAGAAAGACTTCAGCTTGAACAAATAGTAGCTTTTTCATCACCTGGGGACTTGTTGCTTATATCTTATTGGTCTCATGGTACTTGATCTGTAGGTTAACCCAATTGAAGAAGTGGATAGACACGAGGCATCAATAAACTCTTTCTATTATCAATGACATCATCAGAATACATGAAGTAACCAATAGAAGCTTGTTTACATTCAATTATTAATGTATTTCATATCAACCAATCAGATGCCAAGTAACATTGTACTGCCAGAAATTCAGGGTCAAACTAAAGTAAGCAAAATCCCTCAAGAAACTGTAGAAAATAATAGACACTTTAAAAGAGTATAAGACAGTATATGAGAAGGTGAATAATAAGCCTTCCCCTTTAACAGAACCTTTATTTCTTAATACTTCTAGCTCTATAAGATGACACTCCACTTGTTAGTCCTTTTACTTTCTAGAATCTTCTTGCCCTTAGTAGAGGAAGTGCATATTTGAGTCTTTTTAGGCCACTAGAGACTCAAGTTTTTATTCAAAGGAGTTTATAAACAAGTAAAGGAGGGTAGAAGAGATACATGAAGACAAGCTTCAAGTTGTTTTAATAAAAGTATAAAGACTTTATTAGTAAATAAGTATAAAATTTCTTGTGAATATCTTTTTTGTATGTGGTCAGAGGATTAGTAAAAAGAGTTTTAAGAGTTATAGAGTTTATAAAATTATTTTTTTTTTTGAGTACCCATAGCCAGGCTAGATTATCAGTTTATTAATCAATTGAAAACACAAATACATTTTTATTCGAGCAGCATAATACATACTACATCTAAACTATTATTCTAATCTAACTAACTTGTCTTAAGCATAAAGCCTCTAAGTTTGACCTTAAAAACAATATTTCGCTCTGCAGTGTCTTTGGATAAAAACCCTCCTAGTTCCCTGTATCATTGCCAACAAGTTGTCACTGCTGTATATCTAACCAAGCCACTGGAATACAGAAAACTACAAAAGAATAGGTTAAAAAAAGAGGAGGAGGGATATCTAAAAATATCTAAATAGACAACAAAAAAATGAAAAGGTAAAAATTGAAAAAAATATTTCCAGCTTTTTCCAAAGACTTGCTTTTCAAGATCTCTTCTCAATAAGAAATATTCAATTGGAATATCCTTTCTTTTTCTGACTATTTAAGGAACTTATCCATTTTTGATCTTGATTTTCTTCTTGTATACTGTCTGAGGAGACTTATTGCCTAGTGGAAACCTTTACTTTCAGGACACACTTAGTTCCAACCTTCTTTGGACAGTAATTTTTTATTCACCTGTAGTAAGAGAGTGACTTATAATGGATCCAGATTCTTATGTGACCTAGTAAGGACTAGGTCATGTTGTTTCAGTATGATACCTTCCAGCAGCCATACTTAATTAAAGAAATTTTACTAGTATATATCTTCTATTACCCAAAAGATCAGATTCCCCAATAATCCTTTTGCCTTGTAATGGTGGGAGATTAACAATAGTGGTGGGAATCCTTGTCGATTGCGATATCCTTCAACAACTTCTGGGGAAATACATTCTTAACTGTAATCAAAGGATTGAAGCTTAGCATGAACTAGAGACTGTTCGGTCTTATTACCTAATCAGAATAAGAGAGAGACCTTGATCTTGAACTTTGCCTGACTGGAATGATAGGAGAGAAAGATCTTAGCTTAAACAAATAGCAGCTTTTTCACCACCTAGGGATTTGTTGCTCATATCTTATTAGCCTTATGGTACTTGATTTATAGGTTAACCCAATTGAAGGAGTGGGGTAGACGTAGGGCACCAATCAACTCTTTCTGTCACCAATAACATCATCAGAATATGTGAGGTAATCAATAGGAGCTTGTTTATATTCTATTACTAATGTATTTCATGTCAACCAATCAGATGCCAGGTGATATTGTGCTATCAAAAATTCAGAATCAAACTGAGATAGGCAAAATCCCTCAAGAAAATCACAAAAAATAATAGACACTTTAAAAGGATATAATATAGTATATGAGAAGGTAAATAATAAACCTTCCTCTATCAACAGAACCTCTATTGTTTGTCACTTCTAGCTCTGTAAGGTGACACTTCACTTGTCAGTTCTTTTATTTTCTAGAACCTTCTTGTCCTTAGTAGAGGAAGTATATACTTGAGTCTTTTCAGGCCACTAGAGACTCAAGTTTTTATTCAAAGGAGTTTATAAACAAGTGAAGGAAGGTAGAAAAAATACATGAAGACAAGTTTCAAGTTGTTTTAATGAAAGTGTAAAGACTTTATTAGCAAAAAAAAAAAAAACTTCTTGCGAACATCTTTTTTGTGTGTGGTCAGAGGATCAGTAGAAAGAGTATAGAATTTATAAAATTATATTTTCTATTTATTGAATATATATATATCTATCTTTTTATTCTTTTTTTTATTATTATCTAAAAATATTTTTTTATATATAAAATTTTTATATTTTACAGATTTTATTTTACTATTAATTATTCTTTGTTCTTATCTTTATTATTATTTTTTATATAAAAATAATTGGACTTATTATTTTTATTATGATTTAAAAAAATACAAATATTTTTTAAGAATAATTGATTTTTTTTTTTTTTATATATAACACACTTTTTATCTTATTTATATAAATATTTAATTTCTTTAGATTTTTAAAAATTAACTATAAAAAATCAAGAGTTTTTTTTAATTTTAGATTTTAGATTCATTTTCTATTTTTTTTTTTTTATGCTAAATCTATATTTATGATATTTATTGATTTTTTATTACTTCTTATTGCTAAATATTTTTAAGAATTTTTTTTTTCTATTTAGATTTGTTATTTTATTTTTGTTTTTCTTAAATTTCTTTATTAATGAAGCATAAAAGTTTACTGATTCATTTATTATATAAATCTGTACTATCACTTATATATTAATAACTATTTACTACTATTAATTTATAGAATTTTTGATTTCCAGACTTCAAAATTTGTTTTAATTTTTTAGTGTAATATGCTATATTATATATTTTTAAATATTTTTTTTTCTTTTTTTTCTTTTCTTGCATAATTTTCTATATTTTAATGACTTTATAGAATAATCAATAACAATTTGTTAATTATAATATACGGTTTAAAAGAATTTTTATTCAAAATCTATTATGATGTAACAAATTGTTTTAAATATCAAATTTAAAAACTTTTATGTCATAACAAGTTAGTTAAATTTGTATATAAAATTTAACTATAGTACTACACATATCATGTTACTTGAATAAACATGTATTTTGTATATTCAATTGATTAAATCTAATCTGGTTACAAGTTGAATGCAAAAAAAAAAAAAAAATTAAATAAATTGATCATCAATAAAAAAATTATTGTAATATTTAATATTAATCAATAAACACAAAACATGATAATATGTTTGTTTTTTTTCCTGCCTTCTGGCTGAAGAAGTTACTTTATATGATGGCATGTTTGTAAAATATAAAAATTATTATAATTATTATCGTAATTTTTATGTATTATATTAAAATTAAGATAGTAATTAATACCTTTTGGGCAAACAATAGAATCACCGTTTTATTCCTAAAATTACCAAAATAAACAACACGTGGTTTGATGTGACAATCTTTCAAATCAATTGTGCCCCATTCCAACTTCAGTTCTACCAGTGGTTTGGTTTGAGGGTCGATGAGTTTATGGTAACAGCTAATCTATTTATAATTATATATTTTTCTTTGACTTATGATTTGCAAGGATGATTTTATTGTATAAAAAAAAGTGAAGTAACATCATAATTAAAAAACAGTTTGTCCGGGTACGCCAAAATTTTGCCATAGGTATTCAGTCAACAGGTAATAAAGCTAGAACATCGAGAGAGAAGAATTAGTTCAATTGAATACAACCGAACGCACCAAGTAGAGCATGCGAAAAACTCACCTCACGATTCGCGTTGTGTTTCATCATTGAATGATCATTATCGGTGTAGAACTGTACACGGTAGTTATGAACCGACGCGAGAGTAAACCGATCAACTAAATTTGCCGAATTTTGGAAATGTACTGTCAAAAAAAAAAAAATAATAAGTACAATGTGTATTATGAAAGGAATAGAGGGTAAGACTTTAGTGATAATATCTTGCCGTTATCTGTGATTCGGGTTTAAAGAAAAGGCGTTAATAAATATGCATTGGGTTAAAATTAAATGAAGAAAATAGTATTTACCATCGCCAGTTCCATGTACCAACAAAAATTTCGCGTTTTTGAATCCAGTCATATTTGTCACAGCCGCGTTCTGATATCCTTCAGCGTTTGATGCAGGTGTCTTCATGTAACGTTCAGTGTATATAGAATCGTAGAATCTAGGATGGATTTTCATGAAAGATAACTCAATAAACATCAAATGCTTGGAGAACAAACTAGAATTGCGTACCTCCAATCGGTCACAGGAGCGACAGCAATTCCCACTTGAAACACGCCAGAATTAGCTTCGATAATCTTAGATGTTAAGAAGCCTCCAAATGACCAACCCCAAACAGCCATCCTCTTCGAATCAACATATGGTAAATTTGACCAATAACGCGCCGCATTAATTGCATCTTTTGACTCAAATTCACCCAAATGTTTTCTCACACAGACACGAAAGGTACGGCCTTTGTATCCTGTCCCACGAGTATCAACTACCACCACCACATATTGTAATTTCGGAGAAGAAGTTAAAAACATATGCCAGTCTATTGTGAACTTTTTATTGACTAATTGAGACATGGGGCCTCCGTATACGCGAAATAGGACAGGATATTTTTCGCGGCCACTCTCATCCATGCCAGGCGGCCTAATCTCCATAACATTGAGTTCTTAATGTGTCGATTATTGAAAGAAAACTGTGTTAAAAGTATAGGACCAAGAAATCAAAAAATCGCAAAAATACTACTCACGATTTCCATCACTCTCCACCGTCGTGTATTTAATGGTAGGCATGTCAACGGTTTTAATTACCGAATCTAGATATTCATTAGATTGCAAAACTATCGAAAAGGCTTATGAACAGAATCAAAAATCCCCCAAAAGTTGCCATATGTTAAAAAAAGTATCACCTTGTTTTTTTTTTTTTGAATAATAATAATAATAAAATTACTTACAACTATTGTCAACCATCAACACCTTCTGCCAAGGAATATCAGGTCCTTCATATTTAATATTATAATACTCTGAATTCTTCGAAAAAGAAACAGAATAATATCCAGGGTTACTAGTATCAGTTATCGCTGTTTTGTTTTTACCATCAAAGGTAACAGAATATAAATGTCTCTCGATTGATGATTCCTCGGTGCTTATGAAATATCTGGATAGTGATATTAATAAAATTAATTCTTATATACTAATTAGACGCGTGATATAGAATAAAAAAGATGCATACACAAGTTCACGGGTGTAATCGACGGCCTGAACACCACCCACAACCTCCCAGTCGCCACTAGTAAGATACTGTGGAGTGTTTGAATTTATAGGACTGAAAAGGGCTAGATGATTATACCCGTCATTGACAACTATATCCAAATAAGCATCTTGGTTCAAACTTCCGGATTTATTTAGGTATACCATACTTCTGGTCTAAATAATTCAGTGTATAACGTTAATCCATATAAAAATGAAATAAAAGAACGAATGAGTACGTAGGTCCAAAACGATACATACTATTTCAAACCAACCACCGTCTCTCTCGTCTGCATTCTCCTCACGGACCGTTGTGCCCTTTAGGGTGGAAACATCCACCAATACTACTCTAGCAATATCCTGAACCCGATTCATGACTCTGACCAACACTTTATCATTGCCAGTCCAACAAACTTCAGTTATTATCTTGTCGTCTTCCGAAAAGTCATCAGTAAATGGAATTGCTGAAGATTGAGATACTAGGGGTGTTGACACGTCGTAAATATGAAACGTAACAACAGGGTTTGGATAGCCGGGTTTTGGATATTTCATTACAACCTCAGTTACATAAGGTTCGGCATGCATTCCGTTAAGATAAAGTGGGAAACGATATTCCGGCACTTCAGATTCATTCAATCGAATATATGCAATCCGCGTTGCATCAGGTGACCACCAGAACGCGAAGTTCGTTGCCAGAACTTCCTCTGATGGAAAATTATACCTCGTTACAGAAGAATGAACACAGAAAACGATCACACGCAGAAATGAAAAAATAAATTACCTTCATAAATCCAGTCCGGGACACCATTAAATACAACTGTCGATCCGTCGTATGTTATGCGTCTTTCTTCTGTTAGCCCCACTGATATATACAAGTCGTTGTCCTTGACAAAAGCCTGTGTGAACGGATGACGAGTTAAATGAAGTGCAATTTAATTAAATCTATGGATATAAAATCAATAATTACCAAATTGTGACCAACGGGACTCCACTTCGCATATGAGATGACAGCTTGATGAGTTTCATCAATTGGTGTGGTAATGGGAGTAATTGATTTTGATGATACATTGAAAATATAGTAATTTGCTGTATAAGAATGTCTCCATAGCTAGGAAAATTGATGCGTTAGAAGCGAATCAATAAATAGGGCTAATTCAAAGATTCTGACTCACTTTAGTTTTGTTTGATGCAAGCAAGATATATTGATTGTCTTGTGAAACATCGAATGAATCATATGAAAGCTGGTAAAAAGAGTATTGGTTATCATTGTTTGTTCTTTAGGGAAAAAAAAAAAAAAAAATAGATAACGATCAATCAAACGCAAATAAATATACAAACATCGCTGACATCACTTCCATCCATCAATGTTTTTTTCGTTTTATCTGCGATATGTTCTATTACAATGCTATTGTCTTCTTGTCGATAAATGAATTCCCCATCATTACCATCTAATTAAACAAAAAAGAAATAGAACATACCGTTGGCTATCTTTAGATCAAATAAAATCTTAATTCTTCTGTAGATCCTAAAACATACCAGAAGTACTCCACACTAAAGTAGTATATGAAGGATAAAAGCTCGCGTTGTATATATCATCAAATTTTAATCTATTCAACGTGCTTTTTCCCACGCCACCTGATCGATAATATTCATAGAGAAATGCTGAAACAATCCAAGCGAATATAAAAATTCCGGCAATTATCAGACAAGGAAGAATTATCCTTCTTTTTTTCTATTAAATGTTGATCAATAACTTGTAAAATAATCATTACTTTACCGAATTGTAAATGAGAGTTTCGCGCAAAATTGTAAACTCAGCTTTGTAAAATAGACTTACATTGGACTTCGTGAACACGTTCTCCTCCCAATTTTCATTTTCAACTTCCACTACAGTATCGTCCTCTTCTTTACCAAGCATGTTTTCTTGTTCTCCACCTTCCACTACTTCTTGTTCATAGCTCTCTCCCACCTCCTGAGATCCTTTTACATAATCATTCAGGTCGCGGGTCTCCTGTCCATTCTCAAGATCAGATTCCTTAGAAGGAACCGACTCATATTCACCAATCCTCATTTTTCTTGGTTATAATAAAAAAATTATTGCCACTCTAAGATACAGGCGGCGTTGCCTGTTATACCTTCTGAAACTCGAGAGAAGAGAATTAACTATGTACCTCAGCCACTACCAAGCTTTTCTAAGCCAGTCAAATATTATCACGCAGATTTGGAGGCTTAGTGACGGCTTGGTTTAACGAAAATGTATGGCACTGGACTTCTCATCATAAATATAAATAGAGCTCAGTTTTCTGGGTCACCCGAGCACAGCCATGCAAAACGTGAGACGTGATCAAACGCATAAATGGTTGGTTACACGAATTAAAATAATGTTTACGTGTTCGAATCAGAAATAAACCAATTTTTCATCATTATTAAATAACTGTGATGCAGACCAATTTCTTTCTAACATTCTTTATGTACCAATAAAAAAAAAAAAAAAAAAAGGGTTTAAATTCGTTTTAGGATTATATAAAAATTTAACGTAAAAAATTGGTGGTGAAAATTATTCGTAATTGTGTTTATTAGGTGGATGAGGAATAATGTGGTGTGAATTAATTAAATCAATCAGCCGAGGTAGGTGATATAAGTGGGACATAATAGCAAAATCGGTGAGGTAATGATTTCGGGGAATTATATCATTTTTAAATGTATTGAGATACCCAACGAAAACCTGCAAATAGATATTTGGTCATTTAAATAAATTTTTTAAAAAAAGGATGAACGATATAAATAATGAAGACTCAACTCACCATCACCATATCCTTGTCTCATAACAACAGAACACATGAATACCTCGATGGGACGAATATCCTTCAATGGAACTTTACCCTAAATACCAGAAATATCTCAACCTTCGATAAAGGAGCGAATGAAATGATACTGAAGTTTTCATCAAAATACACCAACCTTTCCGGTGGTTTGATACAACCCTAGTGCGTGTCTCAATTCTTCTTCGGACACAGCACCAGGCGCATCAATCTTATTTCCAAGAATTAGGAAAGGCACGGTTGAAAGTTCTTCAATGGAGAGAAGTGCCTTCAAAAAAAAAAGTTTGTCTTTAAAAAAAAAGTAAAAGGGAACCCCAATAGAATTTGTAAACGTAATTTAAATATGTACGTCTAATTCGGTTTTACTTTCGGCGAACCGATCACGCTCTTGAGCATCGACCATAAAGACGATTCCATTAACTTCAGGAAAATAATCTTTCCAAAGACGCCGAGCTGAATTATAAATTTTAATATTCTCGAATTAGATATCTATATAAACCTCATGCAACGCATTTCGAGGATTAGATGAACAGTTAAATGCTATCAATTACCTTGTTGATGACCACCAAGATCATAAGTAGTGAAGCGAACGTTTCCTATTGATAATTCTTCAGAAGCTATATATAAAAATATATTTAGTTAGGTATGGACGTTTGCATGTAATCCCATGTACCTTGATTTTATTGTAAAAATTTTTTTTTTTAGTCAAACGTAAACTGATCTTGAGAACAGTGTAAAAAACATCCTCATCTCAAATGGAGAGTAAACGTTCTATCCGACTTACTGGGATGTAGAGTTGGTTGCAAGGTCGCAAGGCGATCATTCTTCAGCATGTGCAACAAGGTCGTCTTCCCGGCGTTGTCCAAACCCAAAAATAAAATCTTGGCGTTCTTGTTGACGAGACCTAATAAGATCGAGTTGAAAACAGAAATTAGTTTTCGGATGTCACCATCATTCAACAAACTACATAAGAAATTATTTAGCATACCCAAATTTGCTAAAATGTCGAAAAACCAGTTAATAATAAACATTTTTTTCTGCTAGGAAAAAATTGGAAGATCGAAAGTGATGGAAGTAGAAAAGAGTGGTCGCAGAACTACGATATTGGTTGAAATACGTATCAGATACGTTTTTAACTTTAGCATGTGAAAGAAATGTTGATCGGTTCCAAAAATTACACTAATACAAAGATAACTAACGAGTTCGCAAATTCGCGAGAACTTTTAGAAGCGAGAGAACCAAGCCACAATGTCTCGTCGAACGATGTGATGCCAGAATTGTTCTTTTCTAACTGTAACGTTTCCTCGGAAGTTATAAAGCATGATTTTGTCAAAATTTAAAAAAATTAATTGAGTTCAAAATTATTTTATAATATATAATTTTAAAGGCAATTTTTTTAGAATTTACAGATTATTAAATAAAATAATTTATTCAGGTTTTATTTAATTAGTAATATTTTAATTTGCTTAAAACTAAAAATAAATTTTTTTTTATTCTCTGTCAAGTTACATATGCAGTATATGCTTTATTAAATATTGTATATTCTATTAATAGTTCAAATAAGGAATTTTTTAATTTCTAATATTATTACTTGCTGATTATTATTGTAAATCACTATATAAGATTTTAATTCAATCACTTTATATTATATTGTATTCCATTTATTATAATCTTTATAAGAGCTTTATTTTCAAGATTTTTTTTTTTTATTTCTTATATTTTTTCATCTTATTTAGAAATTTTCTATTTTATAATTTCAAGAATTCTTTTAAGCTTCTTTTTTTTATTAATTTTTTTTTTTTATTTCTATTTTATAATTTTTTTATATTCTATATTTCAAACTTACTCAAGAATTTAAACTTGCTTATATATCTTAATACACATTTTTTTATTTTAATTTTAATTTTTTTTTTTTATAATACATTAATCAAATCAATAATTTTTATAATAAAATCATTCTTTATTAATTCTATATAAAAAAATAAGATTTGTTTTATTATTTGAAAATCTATTTATCTATATTCTTTTTTCAAGCTAGATATATATACTTTATTATATATTTTATATACATTTTATTATAAAATATATCACTAAGTTAAATCTTTATCTAACTCATTTATCTCTATTATAAAATTTATCAAAGTTCTAAGTATAACTTTAAAAATAATTTATTGTTTTGTTAATAGTTTAGATAAAGATCTTTTCAAGTATTAACTTTATTACTTATAAATTACTACTATAGATTATTCTTAAAAATTTTAATAAAGCTTAAAACCTAATTATTTTATTTTATATATCACTTTTTTAATTAAGATTTTTTTAAAACTTTTGTTTTCCAATGTTTCTTTTTTCAATAGTGATTTTTTTTTAATGAAAATATAGTTTTTTGATTTAAAAGATCTGATAAGTCTTTTTGACTTATTTTTTCTATAAATTCTCTATAATTGTTTTTATTCAATTATTTTCTTTTATTTCTTGTTCCGATTATTTTATAAACTTGATTATAAACTTTTTTTTATATTTTTATTATTCATCTTTTTGTTATTTTTTCTATATATTTTCCATGATATTTTAGATATACTGTTTCTTAAATAAAATTACTTCTTATAAGATCAATACAAAAGCTTAAGATGTTTTGATCAATTTTAAAGATTTGTTTTACTAGTTTAAAGATCAACTTGTTAAGTTCTTAATTTTTCTTGATTATTTATAATCAGCCTAATATTTTCTCTTTGGTCTTCTTTTTATAAAAATGTTTTAAAATTTTTGAATATTTTATTTATTTCTTTACTTTATACTAATTGTAATTGATATTTATATAATAAATTAAATATTCTAACAAATGTTTTATTGTTTTATTTTATTGACTATATAAAATATATTATATTTTACTTGTTTATAAAGATTAGATTTTCTTATAGTTAATTTATTTAATATTGATAACTAATTATTGATTATTTTAACAAGAAAACTTCTTTGTTAAGATTTTTTAAAAAATATATTTCATATATACTTATTTTTATTTTTTTTCATATCAGATCTTATGTGTAAACTTGTTATTCTGAAATCTGATAATTTCATTTTTTTCTATTCTATTTTATTATGTTCATTAATAGGCTATTATTTTATTATTAAAGTTTTTAATAAACTATTTAATTGAATTATCTAAAATCTTATTTTACTTTTTAATTTTTGTGTGATCTTATATAAGTTGGGATTTTTTTATTTTATTAATAAGAGTTTTAGGATTTCTTTAACTAAGACATCTATCTTTTTATTATAAGAGTTATTGATATATACATTAACTTTGATGAGCTTCAGATCTATATTTTTTCTTTATTAGCTTTGCTATTTATACTTAAAAAGATCAATTTTTTTCTTTCAATTATCTTTTATATATTCCCCTTGAATTTTTTTTTTATCATTTTCTATTTAAAATATAGATTTGATTGTCTATACAAATTTCAATAGTACTGTTAATAGAAACTATCAGAAATATTATTAGAATTATTATTAATTTGGCTCTTATAAAAGAGAATCAATTGTTTACTCTTATTTAAAACTTGCTTTTTTTTTTTTACTTTTTCTATCTAAATTCAAGTAGCTTCTATTTTAATTTTTTCTTTTTTATAATTAACAAGTAATCTATCAAAATAGAAAGTTAACTTATTTTTGAATTCAAGATTGTAATAAATTATTTCTATTAGCTGATCTTAATATATTTTTTTTTAATATTTTTTTTAAGAATAGTTTCTTTTCAAATTTTAATATTTATATAATTTATTTTGTCATTTTTTAAAAAAAATTTTAAATAGATTCTAATTATTATAAATTAATATTCTGTTTATTTTTTAAATACTGTTTAGAATTTAAAATTATCAATTTTCTTGCTCTTCTAATAGATTTTCTTATATTAAAATATAATATTATATGTATTTTCTCTATTTCTCTTTCTATAATACAATTATTGTTTTGTATTATATATTTTAAACATTCAGAATATTTTTTTAAACTAATCTCTTAATTATTATTAATATTTTAACAAATAAAATATTTTACTATTAAAGATGGATCTCTAAAGAAGAAGGCAGGGACAAAAATCAAATGTCCCTTACTAAGAAACATTAAAATTTTTAAATTTATAACTATAAAAAAACTACTTACAATTATTTTCCATTATCCAAATCATTAATTTATAGTATTTTTTGACTTTTATTCCTATTAAAGTAAAGAGCTATGAATTTTATTTCTCAAAAAAAAACATACGTAATTTATAAAATTTTATATACTAAATACTTTCGGGACCTATTATTATCTACTATTTTTTTATATCTTTCTTTTTCTTGTCTTAACTTTCACAAGTTATCTAATTTTTATTGTTTCTTATTACTATCTATAGTTTATATTATTTGTTATAGTTGAGCTTTATTATAAGATAATTCAGTTTTTATTTTATATAGTTTTCTCTTCAGGTTTTAGTAAGTTATTATATTATTCTTCTAAGAGATTTTTGATTATAATTTGAAATTATTTTGAAATTGTAATATATACAATGTTAGAAAGTTATTTCATTATCATATATCTTAGTTAAAGGAAAACTTTATTAAATGTAAACTAGAAGTAGACAACTCTGAGTTGTCAGTAAATGAAAAAGATAACCTTTAAATACATGTTTTCTCAATATAAATAAATATAATAAAAATATATAAAATACTATACATATAATCTTGGTGATTATCCCGGAAGATCATATACATGTAATTAATAAAAAGAAAAATAAAATAAAATAAAGAATAATATAATAAAGACAATCATAATGAAACACAACTATTACTATGAATCTATTGGTAGTTGTCTATATGCTATTAATAATTCGAATATCACGTCACCTCAGAGTTTTGGAATCGACGGTCAGGTCACGTGATCTGAAATATCATGTGTTCTAGCAAATTATTGGTATTTCATACTAAAGGTCTAAATCCTTGATTATCTCGAAATTATATTTGATAACATCTTTTTAACCTTTAAGAAAAGATGTTTGTCTTGTCAAAATATCTATAGTTTCCCAAGACCATTTTAGCAGTTGTTATTTGACTTTCAGATGTGAAATCATGCTTTTATTGGGTAAATTAGATAAACTTGTTACCTTTTGTTTATATTTTATAAAAATTAAAGTATTTGCCAGTCTCTTATTTTCTTAATTTCTTAGTTAAGTATATAATCTATATATATCAGTTCATTATTTCTAAGTAATAATATGACTTTTCTATATTTTTTAAATATAAGATGTTCGTTGATTAGACTATTTTCTTTATTTATTCAAATCTATATTTTTTATTTTTATTTTTTTTATTCTAATATATGAAACTTTTTAAAATCTCTTTTATTATATTTTATTTACTT